GATTGCACCTTGCTGCTGTGTCCAAGTGGTAGAAAAGCAAAAATGCCAAACTCTGTGTGATGCCTCTTCTATAAAGGCCTTAGTCCCATTCAAGAGGGAGGAGCGGTCATGACCCAGCTGCCTCCTAAAGGCCTCGCCTTTAAAACTATTCATAACTGATGTAAATGACGAGTTGATGGGTGCTGATGAGTTGATGGGTGCAGCACACCAACATGGCTTATGTATACATATGTAACAAACCTGCACGTTGTGCACATGTACCCTAGAACTTAAAGTATAATAAAAAAACAAACAAACAAACAAAACTATTGCATTGGAGATTAAATTTCAACATGAATTTTGAGAAACATATTGAGAACATAGCAAAGTCCAGTTTATCTGGTTTTTCTTTTGTTGTTAATGCATTTGATGTCACATCTAGGAATTTATTGCCAAATCCAAGACCATGAAGATTTACCACTTTACTTTCTTCTAAGAGTTTTATGTTTTAGTTTTTATATTTAGGCTGTTGATCCACGTTGGATTAATTTTTGTACATGGTATGAGGTAGGGGTCCAATTTCATTCTTTTGTATGTGGATATTCAGTTGTCTCAGCATCATCTGTTGGAGAGATTATTCTTTTCCTGTTAAATAGCTTAGGCATCTTGTTGAAAATAAGTTTGCCATAGACATATTCGTTTATTTCCCAACTCTCAATTCCATTTCATTGGTCTGTGTGTCTATCCTTATGTCAGAATGACACTGTTTTGATTACTATAGGTTTTTAATTAAGTTTTGAAATCAGGAAGTATAAGTCTTCCAACTTTTTTCTCCCTTTTTTCAAGATTATTTTGGCGATTGAGGGTCCATTGCAATTCCATATGAATCTGTGGATCAGCTTTTCCATTTCTACGAAAAAGTCACTAGAATTTTGATAGAAATTGCATTGGATCTGTACATTACCTTGGGTAGTATTGACATCTTAACAATACTAAGTCTCCCAACCTGTGAACACAGGGTGTCCATCTATTTATTCAGGTCTTCTAAAATTTCTTTTAGTAATGTTTATTTTACAATTTTCAGCATACAAGTCTTTCACCTTTCTGGTGAAATTGTTTCCTATATATTTCGTTCTTTTTGGATACTAGTGTAATTGAATTATTTTCTTAATTTCCTTTTTAGATTGTTCATTGCTGATGTGTAGAAATACAGCTGGTTGAGGATTTTTGCATTGATGTTCATCAGGGATATTGGCCTGAAATTTTCTTTTTTTATTGTGTCTCTACCAGATTTTGGTATCAGGATGATGCTGGCCTTATAACATGAGCTAGGGAGGAGTCCCTTTTTTTCTATTGTTTGTAATAGTTTCAGAAAGAATGGTACCAGCTCCTCTTTGTACCTCTGGTAGAATTCAGCTGTGAATCCATCTGGTCCTGGGTTTTTTTTTGGTCGATAGGGTATTAATTGCTGCCTCGATTTCAGGACTTCTTATTGGTCTATTCAGGGATTTGACTTCTTCCTGGTTTAGTCTTGGGAGTGAGTATGTGTCCAGAATTTATCCATTTCCTCTAGATTTTCTAGTTTATTTATGTAAGGGTATTTATAGTATTCTCTGATGGTAGTTTTTATTACTGTGGGATCAGTGGTGTTATCCCTTTATCATTTTTTATTGTGTCTATTTGATTCTTCTCTTGCTAGTGGTCTATCCATAATCTTTTCAAAAATCCAGCTCCTGGATTCATTGGGTTTTTTTTATTTTTTTTTTATTTTTTATTTTTTGAAGGGTTTTTCTTGTCTCTATCTCCTTCAGTTCTGCTCTGATCTATACTGGCAAACCAAATCCAGCAGCACATCAAAAAGCTTATCCACCACGATCAAGTGGGCTTCATCCCTGAGATGCAAGGCTGGTTCAACATATGCAAATCAATAAACATAATCGATCATGTAAACAGAACCAATGACAAAAACCACATGATTATCTTGATAGATGCAGAAAAGGCCTTTGATAAAATTTGACACCCCTTCATGCTGAAAACTCTCAATAAACTAGGTATTGATTTAATGTATCTCGAAATAATAAGAGCTATTTATGACAAACCCACAGCCACTATCTTACTGAATGGGCAAAAGCTGGAAGCATTCCCTTTGAAAACTGGCACAAGACAAGGATGCCCTCTCTCACCACTCCTATTCAACGTAGTATTGGAAGTTCTGGCTAGAACAGTCAGGCAAGAGAAAGAAACAAAGGGTATTCAAATAGGAAGAGAGGAAGTCAAATTGTCTCTGTTTGCAGATGACATGATTATATATTTAGAAAACCCCATTGTCTCAGCCCAAAATCTCCTTAAGCTGATAAGCAACTTCAGCAAAATCCCAGGATACAAAATCAATGTGCAAAAATCAGAAGCATTCCTATACACCAATAAAAGACAGAGAGCCAAATCATGAGTAAACTTGCATTCACGAGTGCTACAAAGATAGTAAAATACCTGGGAATACAACTTACAAGGGATCTGAAGGACCTCTTCAAGGAGAACTACAAACCACTGCTCAAGGAAATAAGAGAGGATACAAACAAATGGAAAACCATTCCATGCTCATGGATAGGAAGAATCAATGTCATGAAAATGGCTATACTGCCCAAAGTAATTTATAGATTCAATGCTATCCCCATCAAGCTACCATTGACTTTCTTCACAGAATTTGAAAAAACTACTTTAAATTTCATATGGAACCAAAAAAGAGCCTGTATAGCCAAGACAATCATAAGCCAAAAGAATAAAGCTGGAGGCATCATACTACCTGACTTCAAACTATACTACAAGGCTACAGTAACCACAACAGCATGGTACTGGTCCCAAAACAGGTATAAAGACCAATGGAACAGAACGGAGACCACAGAAATAACGCCACACATCTACAACCATCTGATCTTTGACAAACCTGACAAAAACAAGCAAAGGGGGAAAAGATTCCCTGTTTAATAAATGGTGTTGGGAAGACTGGCTAGCCATATGCTTACACCTTATACAAAAATTAACTCAAGATGGATTAAAGACTTAAACATAAGACCTAAAACCATAAAAAGCCTAGAAGAAAACCTAGGCAATACCATTCAGGACATAGGCATAGGCAAAGACTTCATGACTAAAACACCAAAAGCAATGGCAACAAAAGCCAAAATTGACAAATGGGATCTAATTAAACTAAAGAGCTTCTGCATAGCAAAAGAAACTATCATTAGAGTGAACAGGCAACCTACAGAAAGGTAAAACATTTTTGCAATTTATCTTTCTGACAGCTAATATCTAGAATCTACAAAGAACTTAAACAAATTTACAAGAAAGAAACAACCCCATCAAAAAGTGGGCGAAGGATATGAATAGACACTTCTCTAAAGAAGACATTTATGCAGCCAACAAACATATGAAAAAAAACTCATCATCACTGGTCATTAGATAAATGCGAATCAAAACCACAATGAGATACCATTTCATGCCATTTAGAATGGCATTCGTTAAAAAGTCAGGAAACAACAGATGCTGGAGAGGATGTGTTGAAATAGGAACACTTTTACACTGTTGGTGGGAGTGTAACTTAGTTCAACCATTGTGGAAGACGTGTGGCGATTCCTCAAGGATCTAGAACCAGAAATAGCATTTGACCCAGCAATCTTATTACTGGGTATACACCTAAAGGATTATAAATCATTCTACTATAAAGACACATGAACATATATGTTTATTGTAGCGCTGTTCACAATAGCAAAGACCTGGAACCAACCCAAATGCCCATTAATGATAGACTGGATAAAGAAAATGTGGCACATACACACCACAGAAGCAGCCATAAAAAGGGATGAGTTCATTATCCTTTGCAGAGACATGGATGAAGCTGGAAACCATCATTCTCAGCAAACTAACAGAAGAACAGAAAACCAAACACCGCATGTTCTCACTCATCAGTAGGAGTTGAACAATGAAAACACATGGACACAGGGAGGGGAACATCACACACCGGGGCCTGTCGGGGGGTGGAGGGATAGGGGAGGGATAGCATTAGCAGAAATACCTAATGTAGATGATGGATTGATGAGTGCAGCAAACTACCATGGCATGTGTATACCTATGTAACAAACCTGCAGGTTCTGCATATGTATCCCAGCACTTAAAGTATAATAATAATAATAAAAAGAAATACAGCTGATTTTTGTGTGTTGATCTTGCAGTTTTGCTGAATTAATTTTATTAGCTTTGGATTTTCTGTACATAGAATAATGTCTGCAAATAGAGAGGCCATTTCTTTCTTTTTCTTGTCCAGTTGCCCTGGGTAGAACTTCCAGTGCACTGTTGAATAGCTATAGATAAAAGCAGGCGTCTTCTTGGTCATGATCTTAGGAAGAAAAGCTTTGTCTTTTTCCATTGAATACAATGTTAGCTGCAGGTTTTTCATAAATGTTCTTTATCATGTTGAGGCAATTCCCTTCTATTTCTAGTTTTGTGAGTATTTTCAGCATGAATGGGTGCTGAATTTTGTCAAAGGCTTTTCTTGCATCATTTGAGATGGTCCTATGTTAAGTAGAATCTTAAAGAGTAGGATTGATAACAGATACAGAGAAATGCGATTCTGGAGAAGTAAGTAACTTACAGTGGTAGGTGCATGACTAGTATCTGCAGAGATTAGTGCACAGTCTAAGTCACTGTGTAGAGTATTGGGAGCAGAGGACTGAATGCAGTACAGGCAAGGACAGATTCTGAGTAGATCAGGGAGGACTTGACTGAGAGATTGCCTTCATCTTGTCTCCATTCTGGAGATCCTTATGGTTTCTGAGCCCAGTCAAACTAGGAATTGTACTCCTTGCTTATTGTTCTCTCCTTCTGTGTCTTCACTTCTCTTCTATTGACTTTCATGTCCCTCTAACAATCTTTCCTTTTAATTTTTGTAGGAAAGTGTCATGTAAAACAAAGAAAAAATGGAGTTTTTTGGTACTGTGTGATAAATCTTACGATGTTTTTTAAAATTTAGGAGTACACATAAAATTGAGAGGTGAACCAACTTTTGTGTTGGTTTATTTCTAGTTATATATGGAGACAGACCTGGTAACCAGCCAACAGCTAGTGTCAGGGCTGTAAATTAGACTGGAGGAAAGAATGAACCACACATTTCTAGCTCCTGGGCCAAGGTTCCTGAGATTTTTGCCAGCCCTCTTCTAGACGGCAGCTTGGTACCTCAGCTGTCCTTCTCATCAGGGAGACAGATGGAACCTCTGAGGTTTCCTGTTGAGGCGTCTCAGAATTCAAAGTTGTTATGATGTGTGGGCTTTGAAAATGCCACACTTCAGGGAAGCTGAGTTTTTGTTTCTCAGGCTTTCTTATATTGAGCATGTGTTCCTTTCTGTCTTTGTGGCATTAAGTTTTGTTATGTGTGTCCCCAAGCCTTTTCCTGAAATCTCAACAGAGGATGGATCTTAGCTCTGTTGGAAGCTACACTCCATTAAGTGTGCTCAAAGATCTGCTTTACTGCACACTCTCTCCTGCCTAATTCTTAGGCCAGCCCCTTTTCTCTCCCTACTCTTGTCTAGTTAGTCCTCTCCTTTAAAAGGCAGCCTTTTCATGGGATTCTGCTCCCCGAAGTAGTGGGCCCTGACTTAAGGGCCAGCCCATCTTTGTCCATGGTCAGGCTTATCAGGGATGTGACTATTTAGCTCTTTAACCAGGAGCCTCTGTCCTTTCTAGAGACCTTCCAGCATACTATTAACCTAAGTGCATAGGCAGAGGAGACCAGGAGCACTTTGTACAAATATTAATGGCTTTTTCATTAGGGTACTTCATCACAGAATTCCAGCTGTTGGTGTCAGGAGGTGACAGTGAGGCATCTCTTGGATAAGAAGGACGTGGAGATCTATGGAGATCAGAACTGAAAAGATGAATATGATTAGTCATCAGAAAGATGTTTGACTTCTAAGTTTTTTCCAACAGCAGGTATGGCTGCACGGAAAGTGCACACATCCATTGTTGCAAGGCCATTATTATCACCATCATCAAGCGATATTAATGAAGAAGCCAATTGTGCATGACATAGTGCAGGTCTCTGTATGTAGTTATGCAAAACGCTTCCACAGTAAAATTGAGTATGGATATGTAAAGTGATTAACCAAGACTTGATAGCTCACACAATTCATTAATTGCAGCAAGCATCTCAAGTAAATACATAACTTTTAAGAAAATCCAGAACTAAAAAGTCTTAATTTTTGAAATAAATCATGATGTTTCACGTTACAAACAGATCTTTCTTTCTAAAGAGATGATTCACAATCTTTTATGCTGGAACATCAAACATAGATTTTACTTTACTTCTTTTTAAAATAATTGTTTTGTTAACAGTTAGGAAAGCCATACGTGCTATTTGTTAAAAAAAAAATAAAAATAAAATGGAATAATAAAGAAAATGTATCCAAACTATAAAAAGCAAGTCACCAACTTGTCCCAACCGCACCCCCTCCACCCCAACCCTATGTTTCTATTCCCACAGGACAACCATTGCTAGCATTTCTCTCTGTAGCCTTTTCATGTCTTTTGAGAGTACATATGTAGGTGTGTGTTAAATGATGATTTCAGAATTTATATTGATAAATGCCTGTGTTTTCTATTATTTCAATTTGCCCACATGTAGGGTGATTGTTGTTTAGTATTTTCCCTTAGCTTCTGGAATATAAAAGCTGATGCCTCTATACCTTGACTTTGCTGACTGCAGTGGTAGTGAGTTCAGTGCTTACTACTTTTAGCTTTATGTTTTGCACTATTTTTGAATTATATCAATTAGCTATGATAGATACAAATTCAGAATCCTTTAATTTTGGGTAAAAATAATTCTTCACTCTGTGCCTACTTAGCTAAGAATATTTTTAACAGAGGCAGAGCTGTGAAACCACCGAGCACCAACACTGCATCTATGGCTTTTGCAGGGATGCTTGGGTTTCAAGCTGTAACTCTTACTTGCATTAGCCTCTGATAACTTTTTTGTTAATTGATAGGTATGTGTATGACTCATCAAGATGCTGGTTGCTCAGTAAGATAAAATTATATTCCCTAACACTACTTCTCCTTTAGAAGCTTACTTACCTGCCTTGGTGTCTTCTGTCTCGGTCTTACTTTGTTTTTGTAGTTTGTGGTTTGTTCTTCAGCTTACTAAACATCTTTCATTGACTGTGGTATTGGCTACTGATTTAAAAATCCTTGAAGACTTAAAACTCAGCAGACACGTACAGGGTGGACCCCTGCTTTTTCTCAAGTCTCCCTTCATCTCCAGGAACTGAATTTTTCATGCAGTAATTAAAATTTGTAGGTCAAGTCTCCCATGGCACCGTTTGCTGCTAATATGGGAAAGCAGTGATCAGATTCGCTTATGCTGCTCTTCACTGAGCTGAGACTTAAAGGATGAAGGGTGACATTTTCCCCCATTTTGTAAATTAATGCCATTGATCTGCCTAACAAGAACAAAGTTAGGCTTCAAAATACCAAATGATAAAGAGATTAAGACTTTAAATGGCTTTCCAAAAGGCAACCTCTATTGTAAGGCTCTGAGCTGACTATTGAACTTTCAATTAGAATTTCTAATAGGCTATTGACTTAAATGGATAAAATGTTGCAAGTGATAGCTTTCAAGATGACAAAGATTGCTTCTTACATTCTGGAATATTACTTTATGTAGCGTGTACTGTTCTGGAGGGTGAATAATAATAAACTGCCCTCCCCCTGTAGAGTGTCTTCTGCATCTGTGCTATAGTTTTCTCAAAGGTGAATAAATGCATTTTTTAAAGGCATTTTTGAAATGCTTGCTTTTTCATGTATTTGCTGAACACAGGCTTTATGAAATCTTTCATGGCAGGGACGTCCCATTAGCCTTTAGCAGTGTGGCACTATTCTTCTTTTATGAAAAATAGCCCATGTGGTATGTGTTTCTCTGTATGCACACATGTGTGTTCATGCATGTTAGCATGCATGTTCACAATTGGGACACCAGCAGATCTGTTGTCTATCATTGCCATGAGGATCAGTCCCTGAGGCCTTGCTCTCTGCCTCAGTTTACTGTTGTTGGAAGTTATGATTCTTTTCCACAATGGGCTTGCAGTGTAGTGTGACTCAATTTAAGCCTTGTTGTGAAACACTAGCTCTAATACATTTTTAAATACTAATTTTACAAAGACCAGCTACCTCTTCTAGGATAAAGGGTTAATATTATGCTTATGTTACAGTGCATTAAAAACTCTAATTAAAACAGCATTACATTCCCATCTGCCAATCTCCAGTAATCTTCTTTAATTGCAGTAATTAAACTATATTTACATGTTCAGAATACTTGTAATTTAGCAAATTGCACTCTCTGCTCTACATTTAATCAAACAACCAGTTCCAGTATATTTAGTGTGGAAAGAAGTAATTTCAATGTTTTGATTACTATAGCAGATTTGACAGAGTAAGTGCCCCTCTAGTAGAGGGCTTGAAAGGGAAGGCAAACATGAAATATAGTCATGGTTTTGATTGTCATGTGAATGCCTAATTACATGTTGGAGGATTAACTATTAAAGGGTATCATGGTTGCAGTTGATGTTTAGAAACAGCCGGTATTACAGATAGCATAGACTGTCTTTTAGGAGAGTTTCACAAAAGAAACAAAGTTTTCTCTTTAAAGGTTGTGAGATCATAGGAAAATTTAGTGAAAAGATCGCCTACATTGTATAATTGTTATTTTGTCTTCTACCTGTGATCCCAAAGCCTGCTACACAAGATAGTTATTTTAGTCTTCCCAATCAAAGCCCAGAAGAAATTCAGTGATCAACAACAGAGAGAAATTGTACTGATGATATCAATTCAGGGATGAGTGTTCCCTCATTTCGGTATCTTTTGTTGTGTCTGGTTTACTCTGGAGAGGACATGTGATTTCCTAGAAAGGACTCATCATTAGAAGTCAGGCTTTTTTAAATTTTACCTTTTGTTGTTGTTGTTGTTGTTGTTGTTTTAAACCGTGACTTTCTACTAGGCTGTTCCACCTAACCCATCTCCGGCCTCATCTCTTTTTTCTTTTTTTTTTTTTTTTTTTTTTTGAGATGGAGTCTCGCTCTGTCACCCAGACTGGAGTGTAGTGGCGCAGTCTCGGCTCACTGCAGGCTCTACCTCCCGGGTTCACGCCATTCTCCCACCTCAGCCTCCCAAGTAGCTGGACTACAGGTACCCGCCACCACGCCTGGCTAATTTTTTTTGTATTTTTAGTAGAGACGGGGTTTCACCGTGTTAGCCAGGATGGTCTCAATCTCCTGACCTCGTGATCCGCCCGTCTCAGCCTCCCAAAGTGCTGGGATTACAGGGGTGAGCCACCATGCCCAGCCTGGCCTCATCTCTTTTTTCTTGGTTTTCTCATTTTAAAAACAAGTAACAATGTTGTGAATATTGATTAGATTAAAAGGAACAATGTCTTAATCATCTCAAAGCTATTTTTAAAATACTTATTGTTATTATCTCTTTGCACCAATATGAAAGTTTCTGTTTCTTTATCTATATAAATTTGACTGGGATATTGGGTATTGCCATCAGATCTCTGTTATCCAAAACAACGTGCTAATTTATTCAACACAGAAATTTAAATAATATTCTCTTTTTCAGTAGCTTCTTTTTAATTATTTGATGTTAACAGTATTTCTGAGAATTTTTCTTTCTCTCCACTTCTGGGTCATCTATTGCATTAATAAGGATTATGTATTAATGGAAACAAAAAGATAGTCTGGCATACCTATTTAAACCAATGTTAAACCTCGCTTCTTGACCCTGTGAAAGAGCGAAGCTACTGAATTGTTAAAATGATACACAGGAGTGAGGATCCAAGATTTTCTTCATGGTTCAGTTAGTAACTTCCTGTGATATTGAGAGCAACATGTTTGACTGATTGAAGTCTCAGATTGTTTAAGGTGGGGTAGAGAATAGGACCTGGATTTTTTTAGTTCATGAAGAGTCTTAACGTAAAGTAAATACTAGACTTTAGACTGTCATGGGAATAACCATTATTCAGTTCAAATCTACACTCATTTATGTGTTAGATTAGTGAGAATTCAACTTCTGAAAAAAGTTCAAGCAAAATACCACTGATGTACTGCACTTAAGGAGATTTGAGAGTGCCAGAGATACTTTGAAAGGAAAAGAGATGTAATTTGAAGTGGAGGACAGGGCTAGCCAGGGTTAAAATTCCAGCTCTTTTACCTAGCTGTTTAATCCCAAGCAAATTACCTGATCCTCTGAGGTCTTGTCTGTAAAAATGGGGATAATAATATATACGTAGTACTACACTATGAGTTTTTCTCTCCCGTGACTTGTAATCTGTGTCCATGTATAGAGAGAAACACACACGCACACGCGCGCGCACACACACACACCCCCCATAATAACTTAAGAGCCTTTGGAATAATAAATGATTTGAACATAAATACCAGTAAAAATTTTTTAAATAATGCAGCATAAATGTCAAGAGATATATGCATAAGGGATGAGGTATGCCTAGAAGCTGTAATATCTAGAATTTTTGCAAACCTTATTTATAACCATTTGTTTCTGAACCCTAACAATTCTTTTCTGAAACTGTTAACTGAAAGATCTGAATCTCACTACTTATTTCACACTTTTTGCTTAGAGGTGCTAATGAGCAGCAGAATAACCCCAAAAATCGTCCTTAATCCAAACGCCAACAAGTCAAGTTATAGGTAATGAAGAATACACTGGATGGAACATACCTACATGGCAGCTAGCATCTGTGCTTGCCAGAGGTTGCTGGGGAAGGTTGGTTCAGTTATCATTTTTGATCCTCTTTGGAAACTCAGGAGTTAAGGTCAGCATCCTCAGTACAAAGGTACTTGAACATGTATGAATCTT